CATCGAGTGAAACCCGGGTCCGGAGGAATTTTTCTGCTGCGTTTGCGGGAAAAGGCTCGATCCAAACTCCACCTTGGTCGGGTGTAATATATGCAATGGATGGTGCCATCTTAAGACTTACTCAGGCCTTAAGACACACAGGAAGTGGACCACGAGTTTCGTGGTCACTAGCCCTTACGGCTGTGCAATAGTTCGCGCTCTGCGCCGCCACTCACCCTGAGGGGCAAACAGAGGACCTCCGCTGTCCCTAGGACCGCAGCCGGTCCTCAACTACGCAGCACCAATATGGTCGCCTTTTTTTTATAGTAACTCAAGGCTCTCCCACGGGACCACTGATTAAGTATTACTTCGTGGGATTCACAGGACATTTAGGTCTCCTCCATTGTGCGGACTGACGGAAATAATTTGTTTGTTATCTGTTTAAAAAGTCTCAGTTTTGTCATTATGGATGCTGACGCTTCGCTAACAGCTTTCCAATTATCAGTCGACTGACACATGAGTGTCGTTAAACTATCGACCGTAAAACTACCACCGAGTGTTTTTTTAGTTTTTCCCTTGTACTTGAAAATCGAGGGCAATAAAATTGTACATGTTCATAGTCTTCTATATGCTCTGTACACGTTGGACAAATCGGATTAATGCCATTGTTTAATCTTAAAAGGTAGCTTCTAAAGCACCTATGTCCAATAAGTATTTGGGTTAGATAAAAGTCTAGGTCCCCATGTTGTCTGTGTATCCACGAGTGGATGTCCGGTATCAGTCGGTGGGTCCAACGCCCTTTGGATGAGGAATTCCACCGCACATTTTAATGCTTTTGTTCCTCTTCTATGTCTTTGATGATACTGTTTTAGGCGCTGATAGATGATATAAACGCTCGAGTTCATCTCCCTGGGTGTCAATGGGCGGCATGCTGGTTAATACTTCAGCAGCGTCGGTTGGTGTAGTCCGGAAAGCACTTATTACTCGAATTGCAGTAAGCCTATGCACTGCAATTATTTGTTCAGCATACGCTTTTATATCCATTGCCTGTATCCATACTGGTACTGTGTACAGTATTACGGAGCTGATAATTGTGTTTTCGATGGTTGGCAATTTGCAAACCAAAAGGACAACGGAAACACGAGGAGGGGAACAGCCGATCGATAAAAACAAAACACGGCAGAAAAAAAAATATTAAGTGCGCGTTATTACGAGCGGAAGAGGCTATATTTGTTAAAATTTGCCAACAAAAAAAAAGTACAGGTATGTAAGTGCAAATGAAATTTATATTATTAAAAAAAAAACAATGTGTACATATCTTTTCCTCTAGATTTGGTGTCCAAACATGTGGTTCAATATCTGGGATGTTTTACTTGCACAACCACTATTTTTCACAACTAAAAACTGTAAGTATACACAAAGTTTTCGGATCGCAAAAAAAAAACACGGTTAACGTCTGCTAACACACAAATGGGTGATCACAACATGATCGATCTGGTTGGTGGTTTTTCGATCCGAAGGCAGCCAGATATCTTGATGTATCTTCTTATGCTGAAATCTAGGTACTGCAAATAACCATATTTCGGGGCCCGGCGAAGTCGATCAGCCTTAACCCACTTGGGTATGTTTCTTCGTGGAGGCTGAATTAGGATACCCTCTTTGCCCACCCTGACGTTAAAGTCGCCAAGCACAATTTTGACATCGTGGCGGGGGCAGCTCTCATAAGTGCGATCCAAGCACTCATAAAAGGGATCTTTGGTGACATCGTCCTCCTCTTCCGTCGGGGCGTGGGCGCAGATCAGCGATATGTTGGAGAACCTCGCTTTAATGCGGATTGTGGCTAGACCGGAGTGAATGATAGTACTCGGCTACGAAGTCTCTCTCCACGAATCCCACACCAAACTTCCGCTCCTTTATATTGTCACTGTAGTAAATGCAACAAGGACCTACTCGTCTCTGTCCTTGTCCCGTCGGGAAGTCGTGAGCTGCTTGAGCCACATGTAAAAGAATCGTTTGTGGCCACTCCCAAGTTAATGGCGATCAGAGAACTTTTCTCACTTGCGTGAACTTTTACGCATGACTCCATCCACCAGCTATTATGCACTCAGCTTTAATTATGATTCAACTTTTTCTTGTTAGCTTAATATGTATGCGTATGTAAACAAAAACCACTGTATTCTGCCCTTAGCTGTGTGAAGTTATTTTGTTTTTGAAGCAAAAAAAAAAAAATGTTCAAATGATCCTTACATGAATATTGAAGACATGCTTGTGTTTTGAAATATATATGTAGGTATATATTTTTTTACTAATGAATTGTTGTGACATTTAACAAAGAACGATAGAAAGTGGCCTATGCCCATCCCGAGGTTCCAAGCTACCTCGTCACCAATTTTCAGCCAAATCGGTTCAGCTGTTCTTGAGTTATAAATATAGACATAAACTGCGAGACCGAGGGTGATTTAAAACAAAAAAACAAAGGTCGCTGTTAGGATCTTCTTCAAGACTAAAGGAATACCCGTGCAAATTGTCACGTGTTTCCGTGCTGTGGTTAGGGCGTAATGCGCAGAAATACAAAAAAGGCATTTCATTTTTATATACTTGTAAAAATTACATTTACTATACCGGACCGGGGCTATGAAAAATATTCACCCAAATTGATCCATTTTAATCATAACATACATCTTTATAAAAAACACATTTTCTATGAATTTGATTATATTTTAGATATTGCCCGATTTATGTCATACAAAGCCAACCGGAAGTTCGAAAATATGTATATTTGGGTATAAGTATAGTATTGACCTGAATTACCCATTTTAGACAAAAAGATACATTATTAGCAGGAAACGTCGTTTTCTAAGTTTCAGTGATATATCTTACCGAAATGTATTGATTAATTATCGCACGATTTCGACCATTTTGAGACGAAAGTTTCATTATTTTAAGACCAATATAACTCGCATACAAAGAGACCGATCATCAGAATCAAGTTCTTGTATAAATTTAGCTTCGGTGCAGCAAAAGTTTTTTTTTTTTTGTTTTGCAAATTCAGTAACCTTGTTGTCCTTAAAAATATTATTAATTATTTTATGTATAGGTTTTAAAGTAGTTTACAATCAACTCTTAATACAAAACAGTATGTAACTTCAAATTTATTAAGTTTTTGAGCTTTTAGGATGTAAAACAACAAATGTTTATATTAATGAGTTTGCTTTGGTCTCCTTACGTTTATTTAAATGAACTTATGAATAAAATGCATTTTATAAATTCAAGTACCATTACAGCTTATAAATTTACATTAACATAATAACAAATTAATTTCCAATATAAAAGGTGCATTCAACATAATCCGGTTGACATCCAACCTGCCGAGATACATGTCTATTCGTATGTAATTTTGGTTGTACACTTGGTTGTACTTGGTTGTACTTCATACAAACTTTTGGGTTGCTAACGAGAAATTAGACAGCGAAGTCATAGAATACAAAAGTTAATACAGTATATCCCGGGCGCAATTCGTTTAAAGATAACATATTCTAAGATAATTATTACAGTTATTAAAAGAAAATAATTAGACAATGATTAAGTAAAATTTTCACTTCACTTCATGGAAGCCAATGTAATATTTTATTTTATGGCTAAATTTAAACTTCAACTGTTAATAGTATTTCATTCGATAATTCTAAAAATCGAGTCTTTGACGTAAGCATACCTTTGGATATTGAAAAGAAAAAACTATTCTCAGGAATATATCGGGTTAGAGGTAGTCAGAATTACAATTAAATATAATTTCTTAGAAATATTCTCTGAAATTTTTAATTAAATCCGACAATTAGCAAAGGGTTCTCGGTTGCTCCCAAACGTTCGAGAGTAGTTAGCTGGTGGCTGCTTTCGCCCTATACTATTTTTGAATGACTACCCTTGTAGCTCGGATATCACTATGTAGATTTCAATGAAATTTTTACAGCTATTTATGCTAGAGCCTGATGAAACAATTTTATTATTTACATTTTTTATAAACAATTGACTGCTGGTTTTTCGCGAAGTCTGGAGCTTGCTAAGATTGTCGTTTTGTTAATTTAAAAATCCAATCAGGGACTCTATAATCTACTAAAAAAACGTTTCTTTTGTCCCATGGGCTTTAGTTGAAAATCTATATATTTTTTTACCTCTGTAATGTCGAAACCGCAAAAAAATTATTTAAAACTTTAATTTTTTTCATATACCTGGCTACCCCTAACCCCTTTTGAAAATGGCTAGGATTCCAGTGAAAACCATTACAGAGTTTCTTTTTAATCATAATTCCAATCATATTTTCATATTCACAGATCTGATCGAATATATATAAGCAAAAATAATATACGGATCAGTCATTATTATTTCATTTATCTGAGGGACAAAATTATTAAACTTATAAAATTACAAGCTTTTAAAATTTCGACACAAAATAAGTTTTCAATATTCATAAAGAAATAAAGAGTAGGATTATATAGAGTAGTTATGGCAGCTTTTATTTCAATAGAGGGAAAAGTAGAGAAATAGTTAAAATGAAGATTTTACGTAATCGTAAAAATAGCAGCGTCTGCTATGCAACGTTTTCCATTTAAAAATCATTTATTCCAAATACTTAAAAACTATCACATGAATATGCTTTATACCCTATATCAATTTATTTTTAAGATCTATATTAATTGGGGAATTTTAAAAATAAAATGTACTAGTAAGAAGTGCAAAACAGTGCGTAATATACAGACAATAAGATTCCGCTATAGAGAAAAACATGTTTGCATATGTGCTTATATATCATACATACTACATTTTGCTTAATATCGGCAACTCGGACAACACTAATATAAAACACTTTATGTGAAACACTGTTTTACCCCTTTTCAAAATTTCGAAAGTTAGTTACTTGTTTACTTATATCATATTCGGCTATTTTATTTTCATCACAATATTTATTTCGTATATATACAAAAACGAAAGCCTACCATTTACACATTTTTCTAGTGTTTTTTGCCTACATTTGAAATGTTTTAGACATAGATATTTTAACTTTAACATTAGAAAAATTATATTTTATAAAAAAAATATAGGTGTATATTGCGTACATTTGCCTCCATATTCAACCGAAGTAAAATTTTGTAATAAAAAAAAAACAAAAAAACCATTTATTATTTTACTTAAACTAGTTTGCGTGATGTAATACCAACATATTGATTATTGATTTTTGAATAGTATTGTTAACAAGTGAAGCTTATAAAAGCGTATTAAGAAAGAATATTCATTCCAACTACATATAAAAGCTTTATCAAATCAATTGACGTTATGATGTTTCATAGCTTGTTAAGAGTGCTGCATCCACCGGCTCCATACAGCTGGGGCAAGTTAGACTGCGCATAAGCCAATCATCAATACAGCGAACATGATATATGTGCATGCACGGTAAATATCGCACTGCCTCATCTACACAAAAATCTATCATACAAATCACGCATTCGCGTATTTTTTTTGAACCATCGTAGGTGCCGATTGGGAGATGTTGGATTAATCCGATTCGCTTTGCGATTTTCACTTGTTCTTCCTCAGTTAAATTTGACGCTGGAAGTCTAGTCGATGGAGACGGAAAGAAGACAGGCTGCAGCAGTTCCTGAAAGATAATTTAACATAAATACTTTTTCACGTTGAGGATTTTTTACTTTCTAATGTCAAAACATAAATTACGTTTATTATCAACTCTCAATTTTAATTTTATGTATTTACACTTAGACGAAGCGAATCAGCGAACAAAATATATTCAGTCTGCTTTCAGACATCGAACAAGTAGGTCTACTCAAATGTTATTTAAATAATTTCTTAATGCATTATTTCAACCAAATAAACATTAAATAAATCTTTCCACAAGTTTTAGTAAAAAATATTTATAACAAAATTGCGTATGTAGTTTATTTCAAAGCTTTTAACATTTATCAAAAGAAAAGAAGTATATTCCTTACATTCTTTATTCAAGAAGTGAGTTAACGCTAGGACTGTAGTAACCACCCTTTAGACGGTAGTATACAGTTGATGATCAAACAAATAGAAATATTCATAAAAAAATTGCGTATGTAATTTATTAAAAAAAATTTAACAAAAATGCCTCCACCTCAAATAGAATTAATACACATATTTTACAAATCATTATAACCATTTCAACCAAATTTTTTAACACCGCTTTTCAAGAAATCACTGAATAAATACGCCCAAAGCAAAACATTTTGAGCATGGAAATTTGGATTTTAACCATGAAATTTAGCCCCTTGATTAAGTTAATAAGGTTGATCTTAATGTTAGCATTTCGGAGTTGCTATATGTAGTAGTAAAACTAAGTGAATCTACGACTTTAACATGCAAATTTGATCATAATACATTCGGTTTATTCAAATTGAATTACTAGGCATCATTTTTGAATATAAAGTACTGCCAAAACCCTAAGGTATTTCCCCGTTACTTGCAAGTTGCGAGAATATAAACAATTCGGATGCACTCGGACTTAATTATTTTATTTATTTTCAAACGTTAGCAAAATATATGTATATGGTAAAAGTAATTATATGTTTTCCATTTTGTAAATAAGTATAATTTATCAAAACTTAAGCTGAATGATATGAAGCACTATTTATGCCCTTTTTAATATGAAATAAGTGTATAGGCACAACTTGATGAAGAGTTAGTGTGTAAACATTTAACAATATAGGATTTGTCCTTAATGTAATAGGACTGATTTTCTTCAAGCCCGTGAAAAAAGGGAAGAATGAGGAAATCCAAAGTGAAAACGATGCTCATTGTGTTTTTTGACATTATAGGCATCGTCCACCATGAATTTGTTCCTCCTGGACAAACCGTCAACGTGGAAGTCCTCAAGGGACTCATTACGAAGGGTCAATCGGGATCGACAAGACATCGAAGCCGATTGGATTTGTGAACAGCTACCTAACCAAGGCCGGCATCCCAACGCTTCCGCAGCCGCCCTAGAGCCCAGATGTCCCCCGGACTCTTTTGTTACCTTGCCTGAAAGCATTTTGAGACGACAGAGGGGATTCAAGCAGCATGTATCTTTGCTCTCAGAGAATCCCTCCCGTGACGCCTTCTATGCTTGGAAATCGCGCTGGCAGTATTGCATCGACGCAGAAAGAAAATAAGGAATACATTACTCTACCAGTTCTTTTGATTATAGAAATACGTCACTTACCGAATAAATTGGAGCCGGGACATTTCGATCAGATGTAAAATCGTGTGTGTTGCTACTTTCGCTTCCACGTAAAAGTGAAATGTCATCTGTGCTGTTTATTTGTAAGCAATTGCCCATTTTATCGTATTAAGCAGCACTTTCTTACTTCCTATTCAAAATTGAAAACATTATGTAAAAAATTCTTGTAGTTACAATGCATAAAGGTATTAATATGAGCGTAATTACCACATTTGGAGCGCCACAAATTAAACAAAATTAGGAAATTTAAAAGCATACGGAAATAACTCAAGTTTTACGCTGAATTATTACTCTTATAAGCAATGTAAGAACTTCTCACTTCAAGCCTGATTAATTTAAATACATATGTATATTCAAATACGATAATACAGGTATAAAATAGTTTGCAATATCAACAGATTGATTGTAATATTTATCAGAAAAATACGAAAAAAATCAATTATGTTTACTCTTATAAAAAAAAAGGATTAATTTTATGCAAAACGTAAACCAAACTTCAAAATGACACGAAGAAGAACCATAAAATAATTGACCTTTATTAAGGTTTAAGGGTCTATACCAGTATATTCAAATACGATAATATAAGTATAAAATGTTTGCAATATAAACAGATTGATTATAATATTTATCAGAAAAATACGAAAAATTGTTCATTGGTTGAAAATTGTCAACGTGGTATTAAAAAAAAAAAAACAATTTTTTGCCTAAAAAAACGATTTTTTTTTTCAAAATTATGCCATTTTGTTAATATTTGATGTTTTTAAGAGATTGTATATCATTGTATAGGAAATATCTTTAAGTTTAATGAACTTTTTGAATTGTTTTGTTTGAAGTGCTCATTTGGCCGGAATCATGTCAGCAGTTGGGGACCTTTTTTTTTTGGCACCTCCGAACACAGCGCATAACTCCGTTACTTTTTAAAATTTTTGTAAAAAAAAAACACTTAAAATAGCCGAAAATATACCTTATGGCGTTCAAGGAGGTTCGAAATATACAAATCGCCTAATTTTTCAAGCGTTACACTGGTCTTGCCCTTTAAAACTCATCTGCCGTTATCATGTTTTAACTTATTAGTGGTATTACCGTTTACCACACAGTACCAGTGCTTAATAGTAGTCAGAAACTAAAACTGTAACTAGCGAATTCCGTTCCTCCTTCCGTAGTGAAAACATAATTGTTGTTTTTCTCCCTTGATCACATTTGAACAAAGTTGCCAATGCTCAATTTGCATACTGTGACTCACACGTCTAACCGGACACGTGCATTGCCAATGATGGCACCATCCAATCATATAGTAAAAATCTTAAGAATGATACATATCATACATCAAATTAAAGGAAAAATCTTCTATTTTATTTTTGGGTACTTAAAAATAGTAATAAATTTATTCACTGCGTAAAATTTAGATAAATAACTCTCAACATACAAAATTTGTTCCACACAACTAACCGGATTTTCTATAAAGCTAATGATTACTTATATTTCGTAGCATATCCTTTCACAATTGTGGTGGTATTCCCTTCCAAGCCTCCAAAATAGCCGTTTTGAGCCCTGACTTACTTCTTGCCATACGTGCTCAATAACGTTCAGATTTGAGGATTGGGCAGGTGTACCCAGTACATGAGTATATTAACCAAGTATGCTTCGGATCGTTGTCTTGGTAAAATATAAAATTGTCCTTTTCTGTGTACTCTTAAAACATGTATAAATATACCTTCAAATTTTTAAAACATTTGATTGACTAGGGTTTTGCTTTGTTTTTTTTTTTTTTGATCCCAATTGGAGCAAACATGCACGATAGAGGCGGTAGAGTTTTAATTTATATTGAAAGATGACAAATGCTCAAATGAGAACAACAATAATTACGTTGTGACTACGGAAGGGAGGAACGGAACTCACTAGTTGCAGCTTAACAACTCCTAATTACAATTGTCGTGGACGCATCATGATAAATAAGAAATTAATAAAGTTGTTGCTGTAATGAAGTCATTTAACAGCAGGCCCAGGAAAATTGCTATTTCGACGGGGTTGGATCATAAAAAAAGTGTGTTGCGTTCCTCAAACGGAAACATACCGGCCTCGCTATGAAAATGTACCGTTTCCAACCACTGTATTCGCATCATTTAGCTCCCTGTGACTTCTGGATATTCAGCAAACTCAAACCAGTGGAAACCGTTTGAGTCAATTGATGACATTAAATGTGAATCACTACGCGAAAAAATAACAGAAAAATTAAAGAATAATAATACAATACAAACAATATCTTCTGATATAAAACTTGGGGACCTTAAATTCCGATGTTTTATGTTGAAATGAAACAATGGTCGTCATTTCGCGATCTTTATGTTTGGTGCATAATTCTAAACACTTTAAACACTGGAAGAGATGTTCCGATTGAAGACATCTTTAGATGGGGAAGCATGTAGGTTAATTCAACAGCTATCAGTAACAGAAACAAAGTACCAAGCGGCTTCTCTAGGAAGGTTATAAGAATAGCACAAGTAGACAGACTACTGGATCAACCGACTGCATATGAAGAAACTGCAGCAAGCATGAAGCAGCTGGATAATACCACTAAAGAATGCATTTATGCTTTGAAAGGACTAAATTTAAATTTAAGCGATGAACAAGCCGTCATAGATCGAATTATGGTTCGAAAACTAGACAAAGAAAGTCTACGTTTATACGAGCAGAACGTAAATAAAGTAAGGATATACAAAGTTGAGATGAAGTTTTCCGCTTCTTGGAACAGCAATATCAAGCTCTAGAAGCCATACGAGACAGAAAAACAGCTAATGGAACATTCAAAAGCAGCCAAAGCGAACACCTACATTTTGTACAACTGCACAAAAAATTGTGGATACTGTACATCAATATTTTGAATGCAGAAAGTTCCAGGCATTGACTACGATGAATTGAAAGAGATTCATAACAAACAAGCTATGCTACATTAGCGCTGATCACGTATGTATATGGAGAATCGCTACAAATGACAAGTTAAAATACTATTTGCCATATTAAGAAGTGATTCAAAAAGGCAGTCTAACAACTAAACTACGAGTGGTTTTCGATATTGAGTGATATTGAAAAGATGTTTCGACAAATTAATATCCATACAGAGAGTGATCAATATTATCTGTGCCCAAAAAATAAGGTGACATTTGAATTTAAACTGCGCGCGTGGAAGGATTTGGACAAATTTTTTCTTTTTAGGTTGGTGGTACTGTCAGTCACATTTATGTCAAATTTCATGTCAAAATATTCATTAGTGTTTGAGATGCGTGTTTTGTGAGCTACTAAAAGTGAGTTTTTTGTTTTTTTCGATGTCGAAATTTGTTGTGCAAAGAATTTGCATTAAATTTTGTTTACGGAATCAATTTTCTGCTGCGGATACGTTGAGGATGGTGCAGAAAGCCTTTGATGATGAGGCTATGTCTAAAAAATGTTTACAAGTGTTATAGTGAGTTCCAGGCTGGCCGTGAACGTGTCGAAGGCGGAGAGCGTCCAGGCCGACCATCAACCTCAACCGACGAAGCTCACGTTCAAAGAATCAGAGGTTTGGTGTGGAAAAACCTTCGATTAACAATTAGAGACCTTGTTGATGAAGTTGGCATATCGAAAGGCTCAGCCAATACCATTTTGAAGGATGTTTTGGGCCTCAAGCGCGTCAAATCTCGACTGGTACCGAAAACATTGAATTTTGTGGAAAAAAGGCGTCGCGTTAAAGTGTGTGAAACGATGCTTTCCGACTACCAGGGTGTCATGAAACGCTTTATAACTGGCGATGAGACTTGGATCTATGCTTACGACCCGGAAATAACCGATCAGTCGATCCAATATCGTGCCAAAAGAGAGCCGAAACCAAAAAAATCGCGCCAAAGTCGCTCAAAAATCAAGGTCATGTTGACTGTTTTCTTCGATTATCGTGGTGTTGTGCACTATGAATTCCTTCCAACCGGTCAAACAGTCAACAAGGAATATTATATGAACGTTATGCGTTGCTTGCGTAACGCTATCCGCCTAAAAAGGCCTGAATTGTGGAAAGACAATTCTTGGTTTTTACACCACGATATGCACCATCCCATACTGACCTCGTAATTCGTGATCATTTCGCCAAAAACTCAACTCATATCGTTCCGCAGCCACCGTATTCACCTGATCTGGCGCCGTGCGACTTCTGGCTGTTCACCAAGCTCAAAAGACCGCTCCGGGGACACCGTTTTTATACGATGGAGGAGATTCAAGCCGCAGCGAAGACGGAACTGAAGGCCATCCCGGAAAGTGACTACAACCAGTGTTTCGAAGATTGGAAAATCCGTTGGCATAAGTGCATTGCATCGGGAAAGGATTACTTTGAAGGGAATGAAATTGATTTGGAAGAACAAATAAAGAATTTTCAAAATAAATACAATGTCACCTTATTTTTTGGGCACAGTTCCGCAAAGAAGCAGCAAAACAAATTATAGGAAATCTTCTATAATTCCGAGTATTTATGTCAAGTTCATTTACGAATGTTGGTATAGACTGTGCAGGACCGAGTTATATGAAATGAAAATGAAAGGAAGAAGACAAAAAATATTTGAAGGATACTTAGCTGTATTTGTTTGTACGGAACAAAAGCTATTCATTAAGAAGCCGTAAGTGATTTAACAACCGAAGCGTTCCTAGCTGAAAAGACTTTTTGCTAGAAGAGGTAAAAGTCAGTATATATACTCGGATAATGGAACGAATTTTACCGGAGCTTGTATAACATTAGACCTAGATTTCAAAATGGCAATTAGAAATATTCAACCGTAGCCGCCATATTCTCTTCTTTACTAACGTAGACACCTCTTACGCAATTATAGCTCAGTAAACAACAGCGCGCCAGTCGTTTCTTCTTTTCGCAATGTGGCTCCAATTAATCATTCCAAGCGAAACCAAGTCCTTCTTCACTTGGTCTTCCCAACGGATTGCAGGTCTTCCTCTTCCTCTGCTTCCTCTACTTTCAGAGCCGGAATAGCATGACCTGGCCAACGCATCCGCTCTCTTTTAATTTGCTGAACTATATTAACGTCGTCGTATATCTTATATCGCATCGTTCCATCGAATGCCATATTAGAAGCAGATAAAATTCGGAGGCAGGAGCCA